TTTTGTTCCAAAGTCTTAGGATTTTAACGGTAATTCAAACCTTTAAAGTTTTCTCCACTTTAATGGTAATATTTTTCATGACTTAATATCTCTAGTATGAATACAATTTGCTATTTTTTGATGAAAGGACATTTGTAAGAAATGAAAACAAAAATTGAAGGATAGTGTACCAGATCGGATGTAGATTTCAGGGTAATTATCTAACCGAGTGTAATACACTAATACTACCATTACTACATCAACACTGTAGTGTCATTCCTCTTTCATCACAGGTAGATAATTATTCATTTTAGTTGGGAGGGGCTCACATTTTCATTACATTCGGTTAGATAATTACCCTGAAATCTACATCCGATCTGGTACACTATCCTTCACGACTCATTACACTCGGTTAGATAATTACCCTGAAATCTACATCCGATCTGGTACACTATCCTTCACAGCTCATTACCATTACTACATCAACACTGATCATCAACTGATAACCGTACACCAATACCATCATTACTACATCGACAATGATAACCGTACACCAATAGTTGATGTAGTAATGGTAGTATTAGTGTATGATGATCAGTGTTGATGTAGTAATGGTAGTATTGGTGTACGGTTATCATTGTTGATGTAGTAATAGTAGTATTAGTGTATGATGATCAGTGTTGATGTAGTAATGGTAGTATTGGTGTACGGTTATCAGTGTTGATGTAGTAATGGTAGTACTGGTGTACGGTTATCAGTGTTGATGTAGTAATGGTAGTATTGGTGTATGATGATCAGTGTTGATGTAGTAATGGTGGTATTGGTGTATGATGATCAGTGTTGATGTAGTAACGGTAGTATTAGTGTATGATGATCAGTGTTGATATAGTAATGGTGGTATTGGTGTATGATGATCAGTGTTGATGTAGTAACGGTAGTATTAGTGTATGATGATCAGTGTTGATGTAGGAATGGTAGTAATGGTGTACGGTTATCAGTGTTGATGTAGTAATGGTGGTATTGGTGTACGATTATCATTGTTGATGTAGTAATGGTAGTATTAGTGTACGGTTATCAGTGTTGATGTAGTAATGATAGTATTGGTGTACGGTTATCAGTGTTGATGTAGTAATGGTGGTACTGGTGTACGGTTATCAGTAGTAATACCATGATGTTGGTATCATACGTTGATCATGCCTGTAGTTTGGCTAGAATTCAGCTCATAATGTTAAAAGATATTGACGCTAATATAGCTTAACTGATGTTATTTTAAACTGGTCTGTTTTCATAATGTCCTAAGTGTAATATTATTAACGTTCTGTACAGTTCAAATAAATAGGCGTCGTATTGTGAAAGGGAATTAAAGGGAACTTTATATTAGTGTTTCTCTCTACTTTTACACCCCGGAGATGAATAATGATTGGAACCCTATCGAAACTGTGTGGAATATAACACGCTGTAAGTGAGGCGTCGAATAACGTAATAATTACGTAATTCTCTTATGTGGACACAGACTAACGAGAACTGTAGTATCCACGAAGCTGTAATATCGACCCATTACTACTAAAAATAAAGACTAACGATACGTTTACTTTGTGTCAGTTTTGCATGCTGTTAAAGAAACTTAGCGATTTTTTATGGGGGGGGGGGCATGAGGAAAGCTATGTTAACGTTATTCACTCGGTTCCGGACTATTGACGTGAATTCTCTCATGTGTGCGAATTTTGAGATAAGCAAGCACGTGATTCGTCTTTGTGCAGGTCTAGTATATTGTTTATCCCTATCGTGATATCACCCCTCCCCTCCTCTTGCTATTTGTAGTATTATAATCACTAACCACGACTTTCAAAGAATTCTTATTTCTTGTTTAAATAAGCACACGTTTTGTGCAGTGTAAAAGTAATAGAAACGGATATTCGGTTGTTCCGTTCTTTTAAAGGTTTTTTTCAACTCACGTGCAGGAGCTGGTTATAAATGTTTTTCACGTGGTATTTATGTTCTTAGATTTAATACAGTTTGGTGATTTAAAATATTCACGCAAAACTACACAAGGGCTAATTGTGTTGACAGTCTCTAATTGTGTCCAGCACCCAATTGTTGGGATACTCGTGTCTAACCGAATAGTGGGATCTGACTATCACTCTGATAGCGCACCCACTGGCCTTTTAAGTACAGATCTCGGTTTTGCGTCAATAAGTAGCAGACCGTGAATCCTCGGATTGACATGCTAACATTAAGCCTAGTCATACAGGAAATACAAATAATTATCCATTCGTTCTGTACGTACTGATGATGTGTCGGCTGCTCTAAATAGAGAGGACTTTCCGTGCCCCCCCCCCCCTGTGGCTCAGCGATAAGTCTGAGGGCTCACGCCGCTAAAAACCGGGTTTCAATACCCGTGTTGGACGCAGCACAGATAACCCATTGTGCAGGTTTGTGTTTAATAACAGAACAAACAAACAAGCAGATGTTATGCACTGTGAATTTTCCGTTTTTTTTTAACTGCAAGTTTAGCCATCTATTGTTGTTGATATATATTAGATCCTCAAACTTTTTATTATATCCTCTGGGTATTTTTGACGGCATATTTTTACCTAGTAAGAGGCAAGGAGAGGTAGAAGCAGTTTTGGAAATTCGAAAAGTTTTACTGTGGCGACATCTGGTGATATTTAAACATATATATGTAAACAATACTTATAAAGCATGAATTATGCAAAAATATTGTGTTCTTCTTAGGTTTCAAAGTACTCCGTGCTAATCTTCTTGTCAATACGTATTGTGTCTAGAGTAATACGTTAGAAACAATGTTATCCATATTGTGTCTAGAGTAATACGTTAAAAACAATGTTATCCATATTGTGTCTCGAGTAATACGTTTAAAACAATGTTATCCATATTGTGTCTCGATTAATACGTTAGAAAAAAT